TTTATATCCTCTCCATCGTCTCCTTTCTCATTTTTCATCGGAAGCCATTGTGGAGAAATCATTGTCAAGAGACCACTGCCGACTTACAGTGCGCGATGACACAGCATCAAATTCGTCCAAGCTACGACAGAAGCCACTGGAAGCCGCAGCAGCAGCGACGTACACAACAAACGATGTTTAACGCCTGTTCACGGAACTGTGCTCATCTTGCAGCGCCTCGCGCACACAGTGCCACATGAAACGATCGGTCTATTTTGATTCTGTATCAGTTGTACTACATGTACACAACAACTTAGATAATAGTTTACCAACAAATGATGTGGTCACATTTAATTTGATCAAAATCTCATCAATCAAATAACTTCACGCTTGCACTTTGACATCTCATCATTATGTAAAACATTATGTAAATAGGTATATACAAAAAGAATTTTCTATTCTGTATACTGGCTTGTGTGGTGCATATGACAGTTTGAAGATGTTTTTTAGGGTGGTTTTGAATTTGATTGGATTTGATGCTTAGCCTAATTTTGGATTTGTTTTACAATGGTGTCATCGTCGCTTCCATTGCGACTTTGATTCTGGATCTATTTTGCGATGGTTGTGCAATGATTTTGGGGTAGGGTTTGTTGGTGGTGTTTGCAAGTTGTGGTGGAGGTGGTGCGAATGGGGTGGGGTGGGTGTGAGAAGAAGAAGAATGTTTGTCATCAATTATTTGGGTGTTTGTGACCAATAAATAATATGTGATTGATATAATTTGTGATCAATAAATAATATGTGACATAAAATGTGTCGTTTCGACTAAAGTTGTAATTGTTACTTTCAATTTTTAAAGTTGTGATCGAGAAATAATTGTTATCAATTAATTTGATAATTATGTGATCATGAAATAAGATGCGACCCATAAAATATTTGATTTGTGATTAAGAAATAATTTGTGGCCTATTCATTTCTTAATTTGTGACCAATAAATAAATTGTGACCCGTAAAATTGATGATTTATGATCGAGAATAATGCGTAACCAATTAATTTGACAATCCGTGATCGATAAATAAGTTGCGACCTAAAAAAATTGTGATTTGAAACTGTGACGTTTTGTGCTTGTGATTGTGACCATAAGTTTTATAACATTATAACCTTAATTTATTTAATTACCTATTTAATTAATAATAATTTTTATTATTTATTTAATTAATGAAGTTAGAATTATGACCTGATTTTTGAGACTTGGAAAAATACTATTTTTATTTTTATTTTCATTTTTAAAACAGAATCATAATGACCTCGAAGCAAGACACCAATCCCATCAACAAAGGGCATCAAAATTGAAAAATATGAATACATACATTGGGATTGCAGTGGAAAATTCAACAAGAAAAAATCAAACAAATAGTGAGGCGGCGGGCGCCATGGTATGAATCAAAGAATTGACTGTTCCACTAAAATCCAACGGAAGGCCTGAGTTCCTATATTCTCCCGGAGAATGTAATGATATAAAACCTATCCATGTATATGCAACTAAATTCGTGACACCTCGTTCCCTTGAAGGTCTATATATACTTCCCTCTAGACGTTTTCACCTCTTATAACCTTTTCCATATTTGATACGTTTTTCATTTTCAGATGTTGACTTGACTATTGGAGTATAGACGAGAGAATTAGCTCGAACTTTTAGATACTGAAATTCCTCGGGTGCCGACGAGAGAATTAGCTCGAATTTTTAGATACTGAATTTCCTTGAGTGCCGTCATCAGCGGAGGTTGGCAAAACACAGTCATCAATCATATTTTGTCATTACTTTACTAAGACATAATTGCAGAGGTAATTTGCAGACAGAATCCATCCCCCCCCGCCCCCCCCCCCCCTCCTCTCCCTTTGAAATGACGTGTGTGCCTCCTCTACCGTCTCTTACACGATATCTTCCAAATGAAGAATAAGAAGTCTTTTGCTCTAATAATAAAATATAAAATATTTTTCTTTTTCTACATGCGTTTTTTTTTAAAATTTATTTCTATCTATCTTTCAAATCAGCTGAACACGATAGAGTTCAACCCCGTTTAATCTACATTATTATCTCATTAAAATGAAAAATATGACCGTTATTCATCCCATCAACATTTAAATTCAAATTTTCTATCTCTTATGTGAGCTCCAATAACGACTATATTTTTCATTCTCATTCTGTAATAATTTGGCTCAAACAGGGCCTCAATTCTCATACCCTTATTACTTAAATTGACAAATAGAATCTCAAATGCTTGTTGAAATAAAGTTCGGAAATAGCATTTGCTACGTATGAAATGATAACTTTCTAAGAACAATTAGAATGTGTCTGATGCACATTAAAATGGAAAGAATGCATTTTTTTTGTGGTGTGATGGTGAATATGTAGTTGAAAAAAAGGAAAAATTATTGATGTGATGAAAAATATTATTTTTATTGAAAAATGTGTGGTTAAAAATGAGAATTTGGATCAAATAACGGCATATATAAATTTTCTCTAGTAAAAACAACAATTATACGTTATGTCAAGTGGTATATTAATGCATCCAACTGAGACGCATTGCCAACTCCCACATGTTGTGAGTCACTCTCATAGAAGAAGCATCAGATCCAACTTTCCAACTCAGCTGATTGAGACATCAAATAAGGCATTTTCCAATCTTTATTTTTAATATTGACTTTTGACTTAAATTAAAATCTAAATTTTAACCCTTACAGTGTGATTTTGTTATATTCACTATATTTTAGAGGGAGTCTTTTATTTTTTATTTTATTTTTTTTTTCGTGGAGAAAGGATAAAGAGGTATGTGAAAATCCGAACAATATGTAGCGATAAGTGGCAAGAAGGCGCTTTTCTCATATTGAGAGGTAACGACTATATTTGTTTAATGGATTAACAACAAGAATCGTTCAAAAAGATTTGCAGGTATGACACCTTAACTTGGCTAACATTTTTTTCTCTTTAATTTCTTTAAGTTAAAAATTTCAAGCGATTTTTAAAAAAGAAGACCGAAATGGTATCTTATATCTTTCTATCCAATCAACGTATTTTTGTGTTTCAATTATCTCAATTACAAACTTGATATTGTTCATACTCGATCATTCTCACGAGTATTCTAAAACTAATCGATTTTTCAAGAAATCTCATACACAATAAACCCTTGTTTGGTTCAGATGAAAATCATATTTTTAGTAAATTTTAATGAAAGTTGATGGAATATTTGATTGCAAAATTGTTGCGTTCAATAAAATATGTAATTAAAAAGAATTATTAACTTTGACGTAGATTTTAATTCAAGGTTTTTAGCCGAATTAAACAAAGACAAATATCAAAGAAAATTGAAAACCACAACATTATTTGTCATTCTGTAATTGTACCCAATATTTGACATATATTTCTTGGTAGAACTCTCACCCAATATTATACCTACACAAGTTGTCATCTTGCACACTTTGAATGCCAAATAAGTAGCCAAGTACAAATGTGATCTCATCAGACATTTTGTGGTCTTCAATGACTACTGTTTCATCTGCACTTTGTTGGCTTTAAATACTCTTAATGCTCGTTTGTTAAATATTAAAATTCAATTAAAATTAAAAATATAACTGTTATTGAATCTCACTCGTCTAATAAAAGTCAACAATAAAGATTAATTTTTCAATTTTAATCCGATTTTAATCTCTACCAAACACACCCTTAATTTACATGACTTTTTGATTATAGATTATAGCCCCTGTTTGGCTCCAATTATTGTGCATTTTTTATGGTTGAAAATTTTTGAAATAGTGATTGATGGGATAATGTGTGGTGAAAAAGTAGCGAAAAATTTTAAATTTGTGTGTAATATTATTTTATTTGATAAATGTGTGGTTGTAATGAAGAGAAAGAAAAATTTAATGTAATGTAATGAAATTTAATGGGTGTCAAACATGGGCAATCTCATGTCATTAAAAATCCCATCGCAAGTCAAACAAAAAGATCGACTGAGCATGTTTGGGATGACTTATTTTGAAAAGATCCCATCGAACATTTTTTGGCCCTCAGTTTACTGTTTCATCTACACATTTGGTGCTTATTTTTTTATCACAAGGCATGCTCGAAATCCTAATTAACATTTCGTAAGAAAATCTGGTTTCACAGGTGGTTAGAAATAAACATTCCAGATTGAAATAAGAGATCACAAGACCAAACAACCAAGAAACATAGTACTATTAATGTTAAAAGAAACCCAAATGCCTAGCCTTTTTCTGCTAAAAAATACAAGATTTTTGCTGAACAAAATGATCAAGAAAATCACGGAGTGGATTTTTTTTTTTTTCTATGTTATCACATTCCCATAAACCTTGGCGGTGTATTAGTCAACTGCTGAACAACCCTACAACGATAATGACACCACACCCGTGATTCTTCATTGGCCGTATCATATTATCTGTCGATACATACAAATTTGTACGTATATATATGTTTTTGTGTGTCTGTTTGTATTATTTACTGTGGTCTATGGAGCATCTAAAATATCTCTTTCATATCTGTATTTCTATAAATGTCAATTATTCATTTCATTCTCACCTTAAACTCCATTTCAGGTCCAGTGCATCGATGGCTACATGTTCTATATATAGTCATAGATCATAGATGTGAAAAGTGAGTCAAAATATGAAGGATTGCCTTACACACTAAGCATTTTTTACTGCCATTTACTGAATTCTATGAAGGGTCTATCTCATTTTTCTTAATTCACCAACTGGCGCCCACAAAGATTTAATTTTTTCTTGGAGTTGTACAAGGAACCATTCTTTGCTTTCACGAGACCTTTTGGTCTTTTCACTTGTCCTATTCTTGTTTGATTGGGATTTATATCACTAAGTGGGTTTATTTCAATTCTTTCCTACATGAAAGATTCATTGAAGGGTAAAGCTTGATGCAAAAAGAGCTTCTTTCTTGAAATTTGATTCATACAGTTGATAAAGAATGAGGTCTTTAGTGTTATTCAAGATGTTGATAGTTTTATTACAGTTATGTGGATGTTCTCATGGTAAGGAGTGTACTAATATTCCAACTAGTTTGTCTTCACACACTGTAAGATATGAATTGTTGTCATCTGGTAATGAAACATGGAAAAAGGAGATGTTTTCGTATTACCATTTGACTCCTACAGACGATTCTGCCTGGTCGAATTTGCTTCCAAGTGAGAGGATGAAGGAGGATGAGGAATACAATTGGGCAATGATGTATAGGAAAATTAAGAATACTGGTGGAGTTGAAGGTTTGCTTAAAGAAGTTTCATTGAATGATGTGAGGTTGGATCCTGATTCAATGTATGGACAGGCTCAGCAAACTAATTTAGAATATTTGCTGATTTTGGATGTTGATAGTCTCGTTTGGAGCTTTAGGAAGACTGCTGATTTGGATACTCCTGGCGAGCCGTATGGTGGATGGGAGGCTCCAACATGCGAGCTTCGTGGCCATTTTGTAGGTTAGTTTGTTTCTTTCATGCTATGAAATCCTCTGCCTATTCATACTACGGTGCCTTGCCTTTTATTTCGATATATGTTGTGCACAAAGAAAAAAGAACTTTTTTATTTTATGAATTAGCACAATTAAATTATTTCATTCATGTGTTGAATTTTGAGCAGTCAACGAATTTTTGAAGAAACATAACTGGCTCGTTACTTCAGAACTAGAATTGATATGCTCCGTTATGCTCTGGATTTGTATCCTTTAGCCTGACTATGGATTCTTTCCAGATTTAATTAATATTTTCATTATTCTGATTTAACTTATTGTGTTCTACCTATTGAACTGAACTGTAAAAAGGGCTAAACTGTGCGGAGCCTAATCGTACTTGCATTAGGTCGGTATTGTATAAAGGATTTATCAGAGGGCCATTTTTGGGTGCACGAGATGTGCAAGAACTTTTATTTCTTATTCTCTATCTTAGGGAAACCTATAGTGGCGAGTGGAAATAACTCTCATGTCAAGGCTGAACCACTATAATTTGTTTATAGTTTGCTCGTTCTCTAATTGCAATCTTTATTATTGATTCTATGGTGAGTATATAATTTGCACTGTATAAAATTTAATTTGGCAACTGAGATTTTGTTTGTGCGGTTGATTTTTTGAGCTTCATGTTACTGAATTTGGTAATACACTGAAGGGCATTACATGAGTGCTTCAGCACACATGTGGGCTAGCACTAATAATGACAGCCTCAAACAGAAGATGACTGCTGTAGTTTCTGCTCTTTCTTCTTGTCAAGAAAAAATGGGAACGGGGTATCTTTCTGCTTTCCCCTCCGAGCAATTCGACCGGTTTGAAGCTATAAAACCTGTTTGGGCACCATATTATACAATTCACAAGGTAAACAATGTTTTATTATTCTCTTCTGAATCCTAATCCACGATTGTTTTGTTGAGGGCATGTTTGGTATGGAAGATCGGATAGTATAGATATAAGACAGTATTAAGTAAAAAAAAAAGGCTAAAATCTTGCTAATTATACTGTTTATTCCTGTCCGAAACCGAATACCGATATGTACAGAATGTTTAGGCTCATTCTTTCAAGCTTTGACAGATATTGGCAGGTCTTTTGGATCAGTATACTCTGGCTGGTAATGCTCAAGCTTTAAAAATGACGACATGGATGGTCGATTACTTCTACAACCGTGTACAGAATGTGATATCAAAATACACAATTGAAAGACACTGGTTATCACTAAACGAAGAAACTGGAGGCATGAACGACGTTCTTTACAAATTGTACAGCATAACGGTGCGCCATAAAGATATATATAGAGATGCCTTAACTTTTCAAATCAGTTCTATATTTAATAGAACTGACGCTCACAACCCAACTGAGGTTTTTTGACATTCATTAAAATTGTCCAATAATCTTAAGGGAAATTACACCCGAAATTTAGCATTCATTTGAGATTTTGTTACATAATTTTTTCTTTTCATTGTGTTTCAAAATATGAACATTCAGTTGCTGTAATTCAAATTATGTTGTGATAGAAGTTATTTAATTTGAGCTGATGTCCGGTTTTATCTTTCTTTGTAGGGGGATCAGAGGCACTTGTTGTTGGCTCATCTTTTTGATAAACCGTGCTTTCTAGGATTGCTAGCTGTGAAGGTAGACTGTGTATTTCTTTTCACGTTGAGGCTTATGGCAAGAATATCCTAAACTTCCTTTTCACAATTGCATGCCAAATATGCCCTTAACGTTTAACTCTATTAGCTATTTATATTCTCGCTTGTAGGCTGATGATATATCTGGATTTCATGCTAACACTCACATTCCGGTTGTTATTGGATCTCAAATGCGGTATGAAGTTACTGGTGATCCACTATATAAGGTATTTTTTGCCTTCTCTGATAAACAATCTGGCCTCTACATCATTGTGTTGATTTGAAGTAAACTAAATGAGAAAGGCATTGACTTCTAATGAATTTCTCGTGAAAAGTTTTGCCGAAATTTTAAGGTCTAACGGCCAAAGAAAGTATGTCTTTCTAAAATACGATCACTTTTTATTTTTCAGGAAATAGGGATGTTCTTCATGGACATCGTCAACTCTTCTCACAGCTACGCGACAGGAGGAACTTCAGTTAAGGAGTTCTGGTATGAATAATGTAATTCCAAAAATGCATTTTTAGTTCTATATATCACCCCTTCATGCTTAACTGAGACGAAGTAATTCACCTGAAATTATCTCTGAAAATTCACTATTTCATTTATGCTTTTTCTCTCAATCTGTGTGCAGGTCAGATCCAAGGCGTCTAGCTAGCACTCTACAAACTGAGAATGAAGAATCTTGTACGACCTATAACATGTTGAAGGTGTGCCAATATCCTTTAATTTGTAGGGTGGATTTACAGCACCTCACAGGATTAAAATCTTTCTAGTACTGTATTGTCCACTATATTCATAGTGCACAAATATTTGATCTTGTAGGTTTCACGTCACCTGTTCAGATGGACCGAGGAAATGGCTTATGCGGATTATTATGAACGAGCTCTGACAAATGGTGTGCTGAGCATCCAAAGAGGAAGAGAACCTGGAGTAATGATCTACATGCTCCCCCTACACCGTGGTGCTTCCAAGGCTAAAAGCCTCCATGGTTGGGGAACAAAGTACGAAACTTTTTGGTGCTGCTACGGAACAGGTGTGAATAACAGACCTCGCTTTTCAACTTATCTTTCTGTTATTGGAGGGATTATGTGTTTCTCCTTATTATTCTAGAATACATTATGTTTGGAACTTCATCGAAATTTGGATTCAGTCCATGAATCCTTGTCTTTCATGATTAACTGATTTGCTTAATGTTTCTTGATAGCATGAATTGGAAATCTTGCCATTTTATACGGACGAACAAACATCTGATAGTTCAAATCTTCTTTCTACCTTTACTTCTATAGGCATTGAATCATTTTCAAAATTAGGAGACTCAATATACTTCGAAAAGGAGGGAGACACTCCTGCTCTTTACATCATCCAATACGTATCTAGCTCACTTGATTGGAAAATGGGACATATTTCACTGAACCAGGAAGTACAGCGAGTTGTTTCATGGGATCAACGCCTTCGGGTGACAGTGACAATTTCCTCAAAAGAGGTATGTTACTTCCAAGTCATTGTTCCCTTAGACCTCGGAAGTTACAAGTTAATGTTGTCTTTACCTCATTCTTCAGCTAGCAGAAAATGCAGCATCTACCTTGAATTTTAGGATACCACTGTGGACATATTCAAATGGTGCAAAGTCCTCGTTAAATGGTCAGGAAATACCGTTAGCAACTCCAGGTGTAATTGATTATCCTTGTCCTTGTGCTGCCATAAATTTCTGTTTTTTTCTCCAAAGTCGTTTCCTTATCATTTTAATGCTGCTGTGTGTGGAAACAAAAACGAAGAAGAGACCACCTGCTTTTCAAATTTTTTGAAGCAAAGTTTTTAACGTTCCATTTCTTGGTGCAGGCAATTTCTTCTCACTGACTAGAAATTGGAACTCAGGTGATAAAATTGCTTTGGAGCTGCCTATGAGTCTTAGAACTGAGACTATTAAAGGTATGTACTAAACCTCTAAGTAGTGATCATGTCGTTAAAAAAAACGAATATGGACCAAATATAATTGAGACAGAAGCACCATAAGGATCAGAGATTATGACGGAAAGCGCTCCATTGATGGGTTATAAATAACTATAACTAATTACACAATCAATAGAATTCCTTCAATGCAAATACTGATGGGTTCTTTTGATTGTTTTAGATGACAGGCCTGAATATGCTTCTGTTCAGGCAATATTCTACGGTCCCTACCTTCTTGCCGGTCTTTCAAATGGTGACTGGGACATCAAAGCAGATTCAACTAAGTCTATTTCAGATTGGATTAGTACTGTTCCAGGTTATTACAATGCTCATTTGATATCCCTTTCGCAAGAGTCCGGGAATGCAGTATTTGTCCTCACAAACTCCAATCAAACAATAAAAATGGGGAATTTCCCTCAAGAAGGAAATGATTCTGCTGTCAGTGCAACTTTTCGAATAGTTCTAAACGAGACAACAAACTTTGTAAAGTTTTCAGGGCCAACAGATGCTATAGGGAAATTAGTCATGCTAGAACCATTTAATTTTCCAGGCATGCTCATTGTACATCAAGGAGTTGAACAATATCTTGGTATTAAGGATTCATCGGAAGGTGGTGGTTCTACTTTTCGCTTGATTTCAGGGTTGGATGGTAAAAATGGAACGGTTTCCTTGGAATCTCAGGACCATGAAGGTTGCTTCTTGTACAGCAGTGTCGACTATCAATCCGGTACAAGCATTAAGCTCAGATGCATATCATCAGAATCTGGATTTAAACAGGCAGCAAGTTTTACTTTGAGAAAAGGATTGAGTGAGTATCATCCTATCAGCTTTGTGGCAAAAGGGACAGACAGGAACTTTCTTCTGGCTCCATTACTTAGCTTAAGAGATGAATCTTACACAGTATATTTCAACATTCAGTCATAAGGTGGGCTGGAGTAGTAAAGGTGGAATAATTCTGAAACATTAACTGTTCAAAATTCAAACTCTACTAGTTTTATATTGGATAAACTATATTTTACTTTATAGCATGTTTGTATATAATAAAGTATCATTAAGTAAAACAAGAATTTTTTTTAATAACGTCATTCATCATTAGTTGTGACCATCAATTTTGTCAATTGTCAATTCTATCTTTCATTTTTCTGTAAGTATAAAATCATGGAAGGACAATCATATAACTTTACATACCCACGTTATTTGACAATTCAAATGATCACTGTTATAAATCAATAATGACGGCGACACAAGGACCCACTGCATTTCCAACCGTTGAAATTTTGCTTAAAATGTGGTGAGAATCCTACCGTAGACGCTAAACCGCAATTCGCCCCTAGGACAATACAAAAAATTTGATTTTGGCGTGGAAAATAGTTTTAGGTGAATAGCTTCTAATCATACGTTAATAATCATTATTAATTGACTGCCTTTTGCGCTTACGAAGTCAATTCCAAGAATGATTAGATCAGAATTCTTGAATACAATTACAGAAAATAGTCTCTATCACTTTCATTATTTTTTGTGAAAGTAATAGAGAAATGATTTAAGAACAAAAAGTAGTGTATAAATTAGGGGAAATTCTGGAAGTAAATAGCATTTGTGGTGTCTTTTCATAAAAGGCAAAGCTGAATTTCAATCGTTCGATCATTGTTCCAATTATTTGACAGTAAGTAATAGACTAATAGTCATAATTTATAAATCGCATTTGTCTCCTATTATTGGGAGAAAAATAGATTAATGAATAATATTTTTGGGAGAATGTGTGGTTTTAAAGTAAAGTAATTTTATTGGTTTGTGTGTAGAATATTTTATTTGGTGAATGTGTGGTGGAAAATCTTACTGTAGTAAACAATTTTTTTGAATGATGGTAGACAAACAGGGGCTTAAATTTTAACTGTAATGGAAAAATTACTTTCAGAATTTTATAAAAGGAAAATTTACACAATACTCCCTAACTTTTTTCTATTTTATGGAATATCCCTCTTAACAATTTATTTTGGCACAAAATCCCCCTAAATCACCTAAACATTGCAGAATACAACCTTTTAGTCTTTTTTCTTTGTAAAAGGACGAATTTACTCTACTCTTTCAAAAAAAGGAGAAGAAAAATTGAAAAACTAATTGCATCCATAATTCCAATTTTTCAAAAAGTACAAACGAGTTATAAATAAAATAATAAAAAATTCTAAAAAACATTTGTCTTCTCCAAATTCCATCCCCACCACCTCCTCCACCCATTTCTCCCGTGTTTATGTTCTTTGCCACTCAGTAATTAGCAATGTCGACGCCGATGACGATGTTGACCTTCGCTATCTTTTTTTTTTCTGTAGACATCGTTGATTTTGGCCTCGTGATTAGAATAATGTAACATATAGGATGAACCCGTGGATTTGGACCCGTCCATTTCCAAGAACAAGCAGCTAATCGTGATGGCTTTGACAATGGCGGTGTAGTCACAGAGGTAGTCGTCAGGGACTTCATGACAAACCATATCGATATGCTCGTAAAGGTTCAAGGGTCTAGCCAATGTCAACAACCACGTAGATGGTGAAATGATCATCATTTTCATGAACATTTCATTTTCTTTTTGTGTCGTAATTAAAATAATAAAAAATTAGGACAATTGCAGTAGCAGTACCAACCTTTTATTAAGTAGCAAACTTTATCCAAACCTTTCATTTGTGCCACCCACGGTACCAAACCTTTCAAAATGTTGCAGTTGATGTCCAAATGAATTATTTATGTTAGTTTGACAGTTAGTTGATCTTAACAATAATCTTAATTGATTTTAAAAGATTAAAAATGATAATTTTACATTTTTTATAATAAAATAACTAAAATCAAATAATTAAAATTAAAAATCAATTTCCACATTTTTCTTCTCCATCCACCTCACACATACTTACCCAAATTCTGAAATTTGAGAATCAAAAGAAAAGGATAAAAGAATCAAAAAGCAAGAAATTCAATCATTCAATTCTACCAATAATTCTCAGTTAAAATCCCAATGAAATGGAATCTTTGATGCGTTTCTTCCCCCAAAATCACCCTAAAGCCCAACTTGGAATCTTCGCCTATGGCCGATAAGAATGGGGGAGAAATACATGAAGATACAAGAAACTACTATGGAGACTCCGCCAACGGACAACGTGTGTACTATTTGTTTCGAGAACTTTTACATTCTCTGTCGTTCAAGTCCTTATCCTCTTGAATGCATTATTTTATCAGAACTATTAGAGATGACGACTTTGATTTTGTCATACCACGTGACATTTTTCGTCATATGTATTGTCAGATACATTGTTAGATGTCAATTTTGGACAACAAATGCGAATTAGTGATAAATTAAAAATGGTATTTTAATTTATCGATTTGATTATATCAAAATAATTCACGTCATTAGGCATTATGATGGGGAACCTGATGAGTCACACACAAAAGAAGAACCAGAAGAATGAGATTCACCAATTAATTAATTAACAAGCGTTGTAAATTAATTAATTGGATTGCCTGTTAATGGGCTCGAATTAATTAAATGGATTGTTTAATTCCTTGACCGGATTAATTAAATTTTGGATCGAGTTAAGTTTAAGAGACGACCAAACCTATTTGGACTTATATTAATAAATTATTAGGGTTTCAGAAAAATCGAACAAAACATAATTCATATTCTTGCTAGTACAAGAAAAAAAGGAACCCTAATTCTCTCGTTCTTGTTCTTTGTGTGAATATTCATTGGAGGCTGGACAATGAACAACTATGAATTGCATATCATGATTGTTCGTGTTTCAAGAATCAATAAAGGAGTTTGCATAATCATAATCACATGTATAATTTCTATCATAGTTTCTATCTAAATACAAAACAGATCATTGGTGGGAATTGAAATTATTTTTCGTCGTGCATGTTAAGTAAATTCCTACCAGATGCAGATACCATAATTTGATTTAGTGTAGAAAAAATGTAAAGATAAAATATATATTTAATTAAAGAATGCATTAACATTATAAAAACATAACTGATATTCATGAAATATGTAGCAAAACGACCGTGTTATTCTCGGTTCGCCTGAATAATATGGTTTTTCTTTGGTTTTCATTTAGACAGAGAAATTCGAATTGTTTAATGTCTTCTTTTTATAAATTAACTTCGGTTTTATTGGTTAATTTCAGTTATCGAATGGCAGCTCTTATGTCTTCTTTTATTGGTTAATTTCAGTTATCGAATGGCAGCTCTTATGTCTTCTTTTATTGTTAATTCTACATGGATGATTAGGTTTATGGTTTCCTGCAATCACCTATTTAATTGGATTTTGTAATTCAATTACATTCATGTTTGTTTATTTGTTTGTTTGTTCAGCACTTATCATCTAGAATGAGAGGAATGAATTTTTGAGTTTGTCACGTTGCAGAAGCAACACTCACTACTTTAGACAAAGCCAAACAAAATGCTGATGCACTTGGTGTAAACACGAATATCGAAAATATTTTGAATTTGAACAGGATACTGATAACAAAAGGCGATCGTTCTTCACATGTACTAATGATTGTGAATATTTCGACCGAGTGAAAGAAAAAGATTTAAGCATGGAATCGAGTTCTGTTAATGAAGTGGCGAATCATGAGCTCAAAGGGGAAGATGAAGAGTTGCCAACAAATTATGATGTTGTGGGATGTGATTGGATCATAAGTTCAACCCAATAATAATAATAAAAAAAAAACTTCCTCACCCTTTTTTAACACTTCATTTGTGTGTAAATCATGATGTAATTTCTTATATACAAGTAACATAATTCGAAATGCGCGATTATACTACATGTATATAATGGTATACATATACATGATGTGATGAGATATGATTCAGTCAGAATTTCTTTAACCCAATAAAAACAATAATTATTTTCTTTCTTTTTTTACACCACATATGTATGTAAACCATTATATAATCACTTATATACAAATAACATTATTCAAAATGCATGTAAACAATTATGACTGTGTCTGAGAGAGATTCTCTCAAACCAAAATCAATTTTAGGGTCAAATCATACTGTCCCACTTTCTGGAACCATTTCACATGTTGTAGAAAATTTGAAAAGAAAAAGACCATTTTATCCTCATTACATGTGCAAAGTCTACTGCAAAGGGGTGGGAAAGGGGGTGTAAAAGGGTTGATTATCTACTACAAAGCTGTCGGATTTTGTCAATTAAAAAATGCCACAGCGGTCCAATTTTTGATTACGAACGGTCCAAATTATGATACTTAGTGTGCCCAAACAAGCCCTATATAACTTTGACTTAATTTTTTTAATTTTTAGTTAAACTAAGCCCCTAAAACCATGGGAAATTTTAAAAGTAACTCATTCTTCTACTCATTTTCAACTACACATTCTTCATTAAAATAATATTTTCCAATACATCAATAACTTTTCCTTCTTTTTCAACCACACATTCTCCATCAATCTACTATTTCAGAATACATTCTTCTAAAATAATGTTGCTCAAACACACCCTAAACAGGGAATAAGAATATTCACTCTGGTGGAGATGTAGAAATTGCTTATTTTTCTAAAAAAATATTTTGAGTTTTAATTCCACACGTGTGAAGAAATTATCTCTATTTTGAATTACAAATTTTACAATAATTTTCTTCACCATCCAGCAAAATGCAAAAAATAAAAAATAAATAAAAACTAGCAAAATTCCAAAAAAAAGTTTAAATTCAAAAGAGAGAAAATGCCAACGGCTATGGGCTTCGTAGCTTCATAATCCATATCCAGGTGTCCTTGAATTGTATTCAGTATTCACTTCCCTCTCAAATATAAATTTGAATATCATTTTCAAAGCAAAACCCTAAAATCCTGCAAAGGAAAAAATCGCAAATGAAGATTTCCCAAAAATATTCATAAATCAATATTAATATTTGTAGCTTCAATCACGCTCCTCCAACTTCAAGACATGGATTTGGACGAACCGGAACCCGCCTTTGGATCTGGTTTACCTCCCGCTTTAGTATCTTTAACCCCATTTTCCTACTCAGTTTCCCCCTCTCCACGCCGGCTTTCCAGCTGTTTTATGCAGCCCCATGTGCCCGTTAAAGCCAGAAAGCAGCTTGCTTGGGTGTCCCTCCAGGGTCGGCTTGTTGGAGCCGATGAAGCCACCTCGGCTAAGACCGTCGATAAAAATGGTGTATTGGGTCCTAAAGAAGCTGTAGCTTGGGAGCTGTTTAGCCCCATTCAAAGGGTTCTTCTTGTGGCTGTTGTTGCGGTTGCAGCCGCGAATTCGAAGAAAAATAAACAGATTTCAAAGCTGAAAAAATCTGTTGAACTCAGGGTTTGTTATTTGTTCATTGTTGTTTTTCTACAAAGCTGAAAAAATCTGTTGAACTCAGTGTTTGTTAGTTGTTCATTGGTGTTTTTCTTATAATTAATTAGTTTATATTGTCAAAATTAATGCAACTGTAAGTAAATAAGCATTCGTGTTTGATTTTTCGTTTGTGTATCTAATTGTGTCTATTGAATTCATGGAATGCTGATGTGGACCTTTTGTTATAAAAGTTGTACCTTGCTGTCAAAATTAATGTGTGTAAATAAATATTCATTTATGCCATCTTTTGTGTGATTATTTATTGTTTAATTAATGAATAGGCGAATTGACAATGTTGTATATTTTGCTATAAAAGTTGTACCCTGCCGGCCTGCCGTGGCAAATGAATTTATTTTCTTGATTTGTGCTGATTTTCAACTTACAAAAGAATTTATGTATTTGTTTGTCATATTTAACCGTTACCTGTTTAAATTAATCTAGTAATTATTTTTCAAATTTTCTTTAAAAATTGTTTTTAGGACCAGGTGCTCTTAAGCATGCAACAGAAACTGGACACTCTGTGTGAGCAAGTGAATCATTTCAAGGATCAGCCTGAAGTTGCGTTACCAAGCAGCACCATAGTCGACAAGACAGTGGACTATGGTTGTAAGCTGTGTGAACAACGCAAGCATCAATTTTTGGTAAAACATTACTTAAAAGTGCTGTTTCTTTATTCTAATAAGACATCTTCAATTTTCTTACTATAATCCATTTATGGAACCTAAATATGAGTGCTTGAATACTTTATTTGTTTGCTAGGTTGATTCAGTAGAAAAAGGACTGAATGAGGATGAGGTGTTCAAGTATAAAATCCCACTTGTTAAAGAGGCTGAACCAGAAGAGCGTCGCATGTCTGATTGGTCGGATTGGGCTCCTAGTGTCACTTCTTCTGTTGACATCCAGGTATCACAGATTTAGACGTTATACATAGTTGTCGTGAAACTTAAGGTTATCTTATATAGTATCAGGTTGGCTTGCATCAGTAAATAGATGAATAGAATTCTCGATGTGGACTGGCAGAAGATTAGTTTGGAGTCCTTAATGTAGAAATTATGATCATCGATTCTTGCCTACAAATTCTCTTTTTGCAATTTTTCTCGTTTTATTGTATTGGGGTTTCTAATCACAGTTCTTGCATAGAATTATGCCCTAAAACATAAACAACTTTTATGTCCATTAGGTTCAGTATTTTCTGTGAGAAGGGAATACATCCGATCAAGATTCTGATAGAGATATCTTTTTGCATTTGTTACAGTTGGACACTTTAGCAGTTGAACAAGAACTCAGTAACTTGAGAAAGGATTGTGAAGAGAAGGATGCCACCATAAAGGAATTGTCCACTTTTCTTCAGTCATCTGAAGTAAATAGTTCAAAGGTGACATTATTTTCTTCCATGCCGGTCTCAATCTCTTCGTGATACCTTCAACTATATGTTACATTTTTGTGTCTAGCAGAGGATCTCAGAGTTGGAAGACATGATCCGTAGAAAGAATATGATTATAAACAAGCTTCGGAAGGACATGTTGATTCTAGAACAGAAGGTGAGGAAGTAACTATAAGCCTACTTATATTTTCCGTTATTTAGTTAGGTGGATTACATATGACTCGACTGTTCAGTACTGTTTAATACTGGATGCAACCATGCAGTAAACATCTTTTTTCCCTTACAATTTTTATCAGAAGTAGGAATTCTTCAATAAAGAAAGGTGACTGATTTCAATTTCACCAGATGAAGTTTGTAGTGTACTAATAATAGAAGGGACAATTGTACATTGTAATTATTTCTAATCACAAGTTCAACCATTTCAACATGATGAATATGCTTAGTGAGAGCAAAATGTGTAGAGAAATTTATCTTAAATCTCATTTCTGATTTATGACTAAATATAAGCAGGTGGTTAGTCTCACAAGGCTTCGAAGACCTTCGTTCTTTGCTCAGAGTTCAAATACGAGGCAACTGCCTGTAATGGCTGATAATGTCATTTATGACATGGACAGCACTACTAGCCCTTCATCTTCCGATTCGGACACTTCTTCTAGGAACAGAGTGCAATCTCCTGCAGTCAGAAGTGCTGAAATCTCAGTTTATAATAATGAGAAAGCTTCAATCAGAGACCAGAAAAATGAACAGGCTAAGATCCGCACTAGTATATTGAAAAGAACAGAGCTGCAGCATCTGAGGTCCGGTTCCAGTAGTCCTTTAAAAGAGAAGTCACTGAATCAGACACCTAATACAGTTCCTGCTTTGAAACCAAAGCACGCATCATCTTTCAGTGGAGAAAATCGAATCAGGAGACGACCTCTGGTCAAATCTAATGAAGTAGCTGCACATAAGAGATGGTTTTAGTAAGTATTTTTTCACTGAAGAATGCATAGAAATGTTCTTAGATTAAGTAACTATATTTTTGTTTCAATAGGCCTTTGCAGCCTTGTGTTGTTTCTTATCATGCTTGTATGTTTTTGTAGGTTATGAAGAAATTTTCGATGTGCAGAATGTGTTTATACAGATATTGCTTAGAAATGAAATGCAGGTACCTCATCAAGTTGTTGCAAAGACTCATCTGGTGTTTTTTCAACACAAGAACTGCAGAAAAACTGTGGCAGCTGAATTTCTTCGAAAACCATTGCATTGAAGAATGCAGTATTATTAGTTTCTATGTTCTTGTAGAATGTAATAGAACTTTAATATAAATGATTTGAAGGTAGTATATTTCGAGCAGTAGTTCAGGAGTTCTGTTTATCTAATTTATAACTGTCAATTAACCATTTTATCTAAAAATATGTGTTTCATTTGGAAAAGCTTAATTTTTTTTTTTTTTTAAAAGTAGATGTTGAAACAATAAATTAATTTTAATAATGCATTTTGTGAAATCTATAATTTTTATCAACTTTTCAATCACACATTTCATCCATTATTATCAAAATTTGCTAATATTTTTTTAATCAAAAGTTCTGTCTAAAAACCTTTAGTGTTGGATTAACTATTGCTTGCTTGTCAAGGGTAGTGAACGAAAAGTTGAAAACAAAGTTAAAATAATGAACATCAATAACACTTTAATACCCAACATGTAGTTATATTGAATATAAATAGAGTAAGGTTAAATAGCATTACTCATATAAATATGTTGAAAAAAGAGTTACGAAAGAATGGAACACAAATAGGGGCTAAGCATGTGTCAATTCTTAAAAAGTACCAACACATATTCTATTGCAACAATAAGCTCTTGTTTGACATCCATTTTATAGAAGAATTTGATTTGGAATAGTGATTGATGGAAGAATGTGGTGATTAAAAAGTAAAGAGAATTTTTGGGTTATGTTGTAAACCCAAAATTTTAATGATAATGAATGTGTAAACGATAATGAGTAATCTAAACACAAGTAGGCATGTAAATGAAGCAACGTAAGTTTACACAAAGTATAAACGTTAAATAAAAGAGATAGAGAAAACAAATGATATGTTATGGATGTTCGATCCAATGCAATGATCTACGTCCTCCGTTACCAAACTCTCTGACATGAGCAATGCTTTTTTCACTACGTTGATTGACTTATGGTGCAATCCAACCCTTTACAGTGCTTCCGGTGACTTAGAAACAAGGAGCACCGATCCTTTTACAATGTTGAGCTTTACGGGACCTCAACTCGACCCAAAACTATTGCACTTTACGGGACCTCAATATAACCCACAATTTAAGAGAGTTTTACAAGTAAAGAATCTTCTCTTTTTATCTAATGATAGATTCAAGGAGTGAGTACAAGAAGAGAAGAATGACAAATACTTAAAGGATGGCAAATAGGATAGTTCAAAGTGTTGATATGAGAACTTTCTTGAAAGACTAAAGATTTTCACAAAATCAATCACTCAAAGGTTTTTCAAGAGTTTGGTGCTTTTTGATATTCTTAAATATGAAGAATAGAATGGTTTTGATCAATAAAAGCCTCACTTTAATGCTTAAGAAATTTGTGTTTCAAATGATAAATGAATGAGATATTTATAGCATTCAAACCAACCAAAGTTCTGTCCAACCGGACAAGGGATCCGGACGTCCGAATTGTCAAAAATACTAGCCGTTTGAAAATGTCAGAATGGTAAAAAATATGATCGATGAGGGACATCCGGACGTCCGGATGGGCTTTTTGCTCCCGAATGTTTTCTCACTTGAATTTTCGTTTGATGCTATATTTTGAAGTATTTTCTCAAGTATTATTTTTAAAATAAATGACTCGATAAAAGCTTTATGCAATCATTTGATTTTGAAAATAATTTTTCTTATACCTAAAAATTTACTTTGAGTTCTTAGTAATTATTTGCCAAATGCTGAAGCATTTTACCTT